TACTGCTATCAAATTCCTTTTTATCTATTAATGACATTTCTTTAACAGAATCTGATATTCCAATATCTTCGTTTAACAATTCAGCAATATCTGCATCTAATTTTGCTTGTTCTTCTAATGATAACTCTATACCTGTTGCCACAAGGGATTCTATTTTTAACTCTTTCTCTATTGTATTTAAATCCTTCCCATCTAGCAAAGATATGTTAACTAGCATGTTATCTATTGATGAGGTTTCAATAATTTCATTAAAAACCGTTGGTTGCTTTGCTATCTCTAATGATAAAGCTTTATTTGTTTCAGTTTTCTTCTGAGATTGATCTAATAATGTATTGTCATCTATTAAAGTAGTCGCACTGCTTGTAGTACTATCTTTTGGTAATTCTCCATTGTATTGATATGACCAAGTAGAACAAGCAATTCGGCAAGCTCTTATTTTTTGTCGAGCGTCACATAAATAAGCATGATAATTTCCATAAAGGCTGTCTGATAATCTGACGCCATAATTTATAGATGCTGGCAATGACTTCAAAGATTCAGATGTAGCATTTGAATATTTTTCATATGTTGTATTGTTAGGTAAAGAATTGAATTGAGAATTTATAGATGCAAATGGCGAGCAACAACTTGGTGTCAAAGACAAAAACTTTTCAGCTGCACGTCCAAAAGGATCTATATCTCTTAATCTTCTACGTTGGGAAAGCATTACATGAGAACAAGGACTTAATGCACCCAGACATAATTCTAGCATAATGTCTTCACAATTTAAATTAACCAAAGTTTCAAATAGTCCCAATGTTACTATACATAACTAAAACAAGGAATTGAAAAATTTTTATGATCTTTTATTACTTATTATACTTACTAAGAGTTATTAACATTGTCATCTTTTGTAATATGTAATAAAAATAAAATATATACCCGTGACCTAGAAGATATCCTTTGAATAAGGCTATCCAGTATTCTGCATTCATCATAATTATCTTCGAGTAAAAATCTAACAAACGAACGTAAGAGACCAGGTTCAGTTACAGAACGAAGAAATAAATCAAAATAAGCTGTGGCTGCAACTAATTCATCCACTGTTGTCTGTAATATTAGAAAATTACTTACCTATAATTTTGCATATATATATATATATATATATACTTTATCATAATTTAACTAAAAATTAAATAATAATTTTAAACAATTAACGATTAATAATCTTTAAGAACTTTTTAAAATGTGTGTGTCATTAAGAATTTATAATTCATGAATAAGCAATTATTAATAAAACTGCTACAATTCTATTTGATATGTCTAGATTTTAATATTCAAATTTTATTTTGTGGTAAAAGAAGGATATTAGCATTTATAGATAAACATTATCTAAAACACACAAAAACTTCAAAAATAGTTAAACAAACTCACACTAATATTAATTTAAAATAGTTTCAAACTACATATTTTTATTAGGAAAACAAATAAAGCATAAAGCATAAAACATGAAACAAAGACAGAAAACAAAAGCATAAAAAGCATAATATATTTAAATTTGAGAAATTTAATCACTGTAATTTGGAAAATTTATGTATAAAAAATATAAATTTTATGAATAAGATATATTTCAAGTATTTTATGTAAAGTCATTAAACATAAGGTTTTAGGTATACTTTATAATATAATTCATATGGTTTATAAGTCGTTTATAAAAGCTTTATATATTAAATGTTTATTGTAACTATTTGTAAGTATAGAATGTCAGTAAAAGCTTAAGCCTGCACTAATATTATATTATTATCTATATAATAAAAATCACATAATATTAAGAAGGTATTAAAACTTTCTAGAAGTATTAAAACTAATATTAAGAAAATTGAACAAGTTTACTACACTAACTGCAGTGTTTTGTACTAACCCAATGTTCTTGTGCATCTAGCTGTTTTATGGTCAAACCAACAGAATCCTGAGCACCATAAACATGTCACCGGATAGCCACCAACAACCATATCATAACATAAATGATTCGAACTTTATATTAGCATTATTATTAATACTTAATTAGTATTAGGTATTAATATTTACATTTACCATCACCACATTGACAATGTTATATGCATTTAATAACATATCTATATGTACCTATAAGAATCTATTAAACAGGAAATATTAATAAACTTTACGTACAATTCCAATTACCAATTATTATGCATTTAATGTTTTTAAATAACTAAGCAGGATATTAAAATAAGATGAAATAATTGAAATCATTATAAAATTGAGTAAAACCAGGAAAAAGTCATGTCATTAGCATATTTCAATATTTAAAAAAAATTAATTTATGAAAAAGAGAGAGGAAGTATTGTATATATGTATGTTTAATAATAACAATTTACTAACCATATTCTATTTTCAAATAAACAAGTTGCAAGTACCTTCTTTCACCACACATACATGTAAAGTAAGAAAGATATTGCAATATATTATAAACAAAAAAGGTATGCAATAATTATCTATTATAATCATAAAATAAATACACATATTTAAATTTCTAATATAAGTTTATAAGCCATTTGCAGAATGATGCATTTCATCTAAATTAAAATGTAAGCAGATGTTTTCATTTTAAATAAATAATAAGATATATATGTGTGTATATTATATTCACCTGTAACAAAGCTGGTCCCATTACAGGTACCAAAAAGCCATGATATAAAAATTCAAGTAACTGTTTTTGTACCAAAGGATGTGCAACTTGTGCAACAGCATTACAAAAGTCTAAAGAATTCATTAAGTGCATCAATGCTGGTAAATCATTAACATCATCTGGTGTTAACCGATGCCAATCATCTGTTTCAATATCTAATTTCCTTGGTAACAATGAATATAGCCCGCTTAACCCTGTAGCTAATACCTAATTATTAAATAAATAAAAACTTCATTAGTACTTAGGTACATAACAATATAGCATATGAATACATAATAATTATAAATTATGTTTATGTGAAACTTGTCGCAATTAGTACTATCTCTTACTAGTCATTATTTTCTTTTTTTACATAAATTTAATTTATTACAAAGATTACATACAGGACATATATTAGAATGATCAGCAATGTAGACGCCAACTTCATCATTTTTTTTTGAGAGAGACATACAGAGTAACATGGAATCACGTGCTTGTTGTCCTACTCCACCTTCTCTGTGCACATATGGTATCAGTAATGTAAAAATAATAAATCTAGAAAAATTAACGTATATCATTAAATATACATTATGCAATATACGCATAATGTTGTGTAGAAATATGTTTGAAATATTCTACTAACTTGTTTTTTCCTATTGCTGTTGGATGAAAAAATAAGTCAAGTAATGCCATGTTTTGCATCAAAGCAACACATAATTGATTTAATAACACTACTAATTTTTCTTCTACTTCTAATGGCATAATATCATTTGCACAATCTTCAAGTAATCGTAACAATGGTCTGGCAACTGGTTCATGGGCAAGAAGAGTACCACTATGTGATACTAAAAGTTCATATAGTTTTAATTGTTCTAAACGAACAGCATTATTAAATCTGCAAAATTACATACGATACAACATACAATACATATATTATAACATACAATATTATTTGTATATTAATAATGTGAAAACACAAATTTTTATCATTTTTAATCAAAGGACTTCTACCTTCCACTATGTTTATTCCAATCGTAAAGTTTAACAAGGAGGTTTTCACTTAATAAATGCTCCAAACAAGGAGAGTGTGTTGCTGTTGTAGATTGTCGATAGTTATTGTAAAAGTTAAAATCACGTAATTCTAAAACTAAAAGAGTTACCATCTGATCTACATGATTAACAACTCCAAGAACATCATCTTGATTACATATTCCTTTCGGCGGCTGTACAAATATAATAAAAAACTTAATTACAATCCTTTCTAATTTATTACCATAATATCAAAAAGCGGAAAATACTACAGTTACAAAAATCGTTTGAAAAACTTTCGAATCTTTACTTTTTTTAACTATAAATGCTATGCTTTAAAAATTGAACTTACAGATGTGCGTAAAATGATTTCGTACGCTTGTTGCCAATGTTTACAAAAACTGTCATAGCATGCTGACGGGTCAGCATCTTTTGGCGGAGAATCTCTTGAACGTTGCTTAGTGAAACTAGTTCTCAAGGGGCTACTTCGTAACCAGCTCATTTTTTCGGTCTATATTTTATTTACTTCCACGTTCATCAGAAACCTGATTTCACGCATCCTTTCTCTTCGAAATCTCTCATATTACTAACTGGCATAAAAATAAAGTATTCGTCTATCTTCCTCAGTTTCGACTAACCAAGTTTTTCTGTCAAAATTGTCCTACTTATTGAGATAATCGCCCATCTACGCAGCAAGGACACAGTGATAATACAAACTGCATATTTATTGTGCGACTTGCGCATTACAAATACTTTGCTAACGCGTGTCAGCGTTATATTATGTCAAATATTTTGTATGTTTGATAACCAGCAACTAATCACTCCTGTATTATTATGTTAGCCCATTAAGAAATCGCCATATTTATTCAACTAAGGTTTAGAGATTAATTTTAACTTTTTTTCATTTTTCCCATTTTTTCCACATTCATTTGAGGTACGTCCATGTTTATACTTCGCAATGCAATGCGTTTTGTCCAGTTTGCATTTTAGAACCATTTCGAAAATTTGTATTATATAAAAAGAAATCAGGAATCTTTATATATCTCCCCAAGATAGTGATTTTCATTATAAAATCTTATAAAATATAATAAAAAATTTCTATTCGACTTATATATTATATAACGATTAAAATATAGATATTAATTAAAATAAAACGATGTACTTACATATTTAAGCTTTATTAAGTATAAAGAATTAAACCTCGAACATAGTAATATGACAGATGTGTGTAAATAAATATATGTAAATAAGATATTGTTTAATTTAACCAAAGAAGATAGTATATTCATTTTACATTATGACAAAGAAATGCAATATATTAATATTCACAGTTTCTACTCTGTATTAGAATGATATATGGTCAATTTAATGTTATAGCTGTCACGAATTTTAAATGTTAATATGCATAGAATCTGGATATATTAAAAAATATGAAAATAATTAAAGTATGAAGTAAAATATGAAATTAATTTTATTAAAAAGAAACAAAAATTCTCGAAAATTTAAAAAACAATATGGTCACATAACTATGTCACAATCACAATGAAAACCGTAGGCATTGTATATTTAAAAGATTAACAGTTTTATGACTTAAAAAGCTTTAATTTTATTATCTCCGATATAAAGGAATAAAACTGAAAAATAAACGAGATGTTAGAATTATTTTGTTAATTATTCTATAGTTAGCATGTTACTTAAATTTAACTGTTTTTGTACGTTAATTGTAACTTAACCTCAATCTTTTATTCTGTTTCAGTACTGAATAACTTTATGTCTGTCTTATTTGTAAGGAATATTGCTAAGTATATCGTCAGAAATGTCCAAATTTCTATTTAAATCAATTAGATTGTTTTTAATTAAGAATAACAGTAACGTAAATCAGTATGTTCAAAATTTTAGCAAAAGTTTTATGGATGATGCAGACAGGAAGGAAAAGAAAAGAAAGACTCAAAGGATTCCCAAAATTACACTTATACATACAGATAAATCTATTTCTGTTATTTCATTAGAGGACGCAGAAAAATTAGCTAAAAGGCGAAATCTTGAGTTAATACATGTATCAAATACATCTAAAAGTGGTAGAAGTGTTTATGAACTTGAACATTTTTCAAAGATTGGCAAGATTACAAGCGATGTAGCAGAAACACATAAAAATGGACAGAAGATAAAGTCTGCTAAGCTATTTACTATAAAACAGAATATTACGAATTATGATTTAAATATAAAAATTAATAATATTAACAAAACGTTAAAAAGAAATTATAAGGCTAAAATACTTTTTTCCCACTCTAAGGGGCTTCAAGTAAGGAAAGCATTAATTGCAACTATCTTTGTTGTTTATAAGAGCTTGTATTCAAAATATTTGAATTATTAATAATAAGTTAAATTGTATTAATTTAGAAATTTAATTGGTATTCGGCTTTAGTACAATATCGTTAATTTTATAGGAAGAGGTGATAGAAGAAGTGAAACAAAAGATACAGGGAATTATCTTAGAAACACAGAAGAGAAAAGATGATACTATACTTGTATATACTCCTTTATTAAAAGATGGAAATATTTCTTCAAATGAAGATGTTAATGATAAGTAATGTACTGAAAAAGTGGGAAAATTAATAAAATCCTTCATAATTTTATATGACAGTATATTCTAATAAATGATAAATTAAAAATTATTGTATCATATATGGATTTGTCTTGTAAAATTGTGTAACATAAATGAATACTATGTACATAGGACAAGTTAAAATATATAATATAGTAATTCTCAATTATGCAGTTCAAAGTATTGGACAACAAAATGGACAATAATTTTATGTATAGAATTAGAATATTTTACATCTTTAATACTAAAATGAGATTCAAAACTACTGATTTTCAAATCAAAATGGTTTCTTACATATATATATATTACACTATATATTATATATATAGTAAAACATACTGTAACAGTACTTAACTATTCAATAAAATAAAATATTATGCTTATAGTAAAATGTATTATTAACATCAATTATACTGCCTAAGAAACCAGAACTTTCTCGAATTTAGGATATTTATTAAGTGATCCTTTTAGATTATACAGAGAGTCTCATTTCAAATACGAATCCAGAAGAAGAAGAAAGCGGGATTGTTTTGTCACTTTCAGTATTTTAAGAACACGAGTTTTTGCAAGAATTTGATTAAAAGTGATGAAAACTATATCGATATCTTATCTCACTTATATTAATATCATATCGATATAAAAGTTATTAAATTTAGTAGTTTTAAATGATTGGGTATTATCATTGAACTTTAGGAAGATATACACGGTATTTTGCCGCCAAACGGCTATTGCTTGCCTAACTCGTCGATATCGCAGCTATATGTAATCGTATCGGTACATAATATTGTCTGAGAAGTTCTTTATAATTTTGCTATTATATAGTGTCTAAGAATACATACATATATGAAAAAAATCGAACATTTTGCGTATAAAAAGTGAATTCATCGGATCGCATGAGCAATGGCGCCATGGGGCGGAAAATCGTGTGTTTCGTCGCAACAAAAACTTGCACTTTTTAAAAGTTTGAGGGCGACATAGCAATTCTACTTCCGAATTCGTTTTAAAATAGAATAGTTTGATCATCTAGTGGATATGGCAGATCATAATTCAGTGTTGAACAATGTTATTAATATATTGGTAACTATATTCATATTATATAGGAGAGAACAGTTTTGAATTTCATTTAATACTACATTATATACATGTCGGAGTGTCATCGGGTGTAAGGTTGGGGGCGGCCGAGGTATTTCCTCGGGAATTAGCCATGGATGCGGTACGATACGGGTGCGATTTATTGTGATAAGGTGGTTGTTACACTCAGCGCGGTTACTCACGACGATTAGCTACTCCCGACGCAAATGACGATGGCTCCGGATTTGTTGACGAATCCACGGCACACGGGATGGCAAGTATCAGTGTAATAATCGGATCGGGTAACTTCTCGATAACTCGGTCCGCACTTCGTACAGCGACTCACTAACAAACACTCTCTCCATCCTAATGAGACTGTCCTTATATATTCCTGTCCCCACTTCTGGGGTTAATCCTTGTTTTCAAGGAGAGTCATATAATCATTCCGTACCTCTGTCAGGTACGCGTCCCTCCCGTGCCCGTGGCTACGTCCAGTGACCCGTTAGGTCACCCTAAACCCGAACCCGTCGTCATAAAGCCCGGTTGGAACATTAAAAGTTATTTTCTTATTTTTATTGCTTAAACATACAAATCTTGATTATGGTATTGGGGGTGTTCCCAGCATTCTCGACGGCAATCCCGCTGTCCTTCCATCTCCGACATATATATAGTATCATTAGTATCATTATTGTCAGATATACATTGTAAGTGAATATAGTAACTTGACTGTGTCTTGTTTAATAATGACTTATTACTATCTAGCGATATGTGACATATATACTCTTATCCTTAAGATTAATTACAGTATGCTAAGATGAGAAAGAAAGGAAAAGATTACGATTAACAAATTGTGTAAAATCAATAAAAATTGACTAACTACTACGATTATTTGAAATATAAATATTATGTATTACATTTACTTTACTTGGAAATAATATTGGATTAAGCTTTTGAATAATAGCATATATGTAAAAATTATTATTACACTCCTCATTTATAAATATTTTCTCCATGTTGATAGTATTTGCCCAATTAGTTTTACTTACATCTTAAACATATAATTTTAATAAACACTAATTGAAATTTTCGACCTTAAACTGAGATCTATATTTTCTTAAATATTATATGATAAATGCCACAAATATATATTTTATAATAATACTTGTACAGATAAACATATTTATTGCTACTATACATAGATTGGCTTTTAAAATATTTGAAAAACGGTACATTTTTTAATAATAATTTAAATATCGATTTACTACATATTTTTTCGCATAAATTGTATTTTTTCTTTTTGTATTTGTTTTTTTGAACATATTTTTTATGAATAATTGGAATGCGGTTTTTTTGACTGAAAGAATTACTTACTATATGTAAACTCATATGCAATATATGTGTAATTATATATTACAATTACTCATATCACATATGCATAATATATGAAGTATTCCATATATGTAGTTTATAGCGATTTGTTATTATTTTTCAATATTGAATAACTGAAAAGAATTAAAACAAAAGGTAGACAAGAATTGTAGCACGATATTATGTGCGTTGTATTACAATAATTTGATTTTAATATTTATCATAAATATCTTCTATTTATCAATAAATAAAGGAATTTTTTCGATGCATATTTGATTTACTGCTAATTCATATATACCTTCCAACATGTTTATCAGAATATAATTTCGGTTTTGAACACTTTTTTATTTTAAATCTTGCAATAAAAGCGATAAAAAATTAAACAAATTCGATTTTAAAATATTATGTATCAATGCATCAAGCATCCTCAAAACTAATATTGTAACATATAATATAATCAGGTGATATCTAATAGGTATTGATTGTCGGTTCTTATTTATAGTACCATAAATTTTTGGAAAATATATCACGTCAAGAGATTGTAATATTTTATTATGTATTATAATTGCAAAAACTCTATTTCATGTCAAATCTCTATTATGCTTGATTTAATGATACATAAATAAAATTTCAGATTCAAATGCATTTAAAGACAAAGAAATAAAATAAAAAATGGATATGTAAAAAGTATGGATGAACATTATTATGGACATTTCCCTGTATAACATTTTCTGTACTCTACCAGAGAAGGGCAAAGTTTGCCTCTTGGACCGAAAGGTTGAACTTTGACCATTCTTGTCCTGTGTTGTGCTGTTTCTCCACAAGTGGCTGTACAACGTGACCATCTAGACCACTGTGTCGTTTTACAGTCAACTGAAACTAATTTCATCAATAATCGCATTAAGATTTAAAAATTTTCTCAGAGATAGTAGTTGTGTCTGGTAACCGTATCATTAATTCTACGACCTTAACAATGGAATATTAAAAAAATATGTTTATTAATCAAAACTCACTTTGATTTTCTTCTACCTTCAAACTTTGGTCACGGTATATACGTCGTCTTGGAACATCAGCTTGCAAGGCTACGGATTTTACTTTTATTTAAACAGTTTCTGTAGTTAGTACATGTTAAATTAGATTAAATTATTTTATCTTCATTGTACTTACAACACAATGGATCTTTACGACATTTTCTTTTACGATGTAATTTTGTTGGACATCGTTTACCTTTACCTCTATGTGGTACCTGTATTATTCAAATTAAACGAAGTTACGTACGCTTTTGAAACTGTTGGAGATGGAAAACATTGATTTGTACGAATTTTTCATCGAATGAAGTAAAAAGAACATTTAACTTTCATTTTCCTTCTGATTATAAAAATTTATTTACCTTAATTTCTCTTGTACTATTTTTATATCCACGACATCCTGCACACTTAGACCAACTACTCCATTCGGATACCTGACAGTCGACATCTTCCGCGTTATAAGACGATTTCATTTGACTGTCTGCTTCTATACCTCTGAACTTTAATTTCTCTGCAAGAAGATATTGCATATTGTTTACTACATTGCAAAAAACATTTATAAACCAAGCAGGTTAAACGTAGAATGTCACTAAATTGCGTTAATGTTTATACTGATAATAAGCGAGCAATTAACTGCTTAACAACATATCGAGCAAAAAATATTGAATTTCAATCAAATTACGCAACATAATTATGGCTTTCTTTTTTTTTTGTTGATAATATTCGAAATTGGGGCCAAAGGGATTCGTAATTCGATTTGCAAGACGAAGTAATGCAATTTGTTAGGTAGCATCACCATGGTGTGCTCGCTTTGTCTTCGTACTGCGTTGCCCCTGTGCAGGTATGTGATAGCTGAGAACGCTGCTGAGGGATACCTTATAGTTTTTCGCCATAGTCGATAAGTTAGTCCTTAAATCTTCTATATTTTTTTGATAAGCAAGCGTGCACAGAATAATAATGGAGATTTTGTTAAAAAACGTAAGCCACAAAACTTGAATTATTAAATTTGCTATATTCGATAATCGTCGGAAGCTCTAAACGAGTTCGTTCGAACAGTATATATAGTTTTCTTTCCTTAAAGGAACTAAAAATCAATGAATTTTGTTAGAGTTGAGTTATTGTTACTTTTATGATACAAAAGTATGTCAATAGTATCAAAATTACTTTATCTTATCATCCGAACAACTTTTACTTCCTCCATCGTCGATGCATTTTTGAATAAAGAAAGATGTAGGAGATGGCTGAATTACGAAGGGAAACTTACTCTGATAGCTATCGCAAACTTTTTTGCAATCTTGTTCAGTTGGAAAATTATTTTCATTTCCATCGCAGCCGGAATACTTGAACGATTTACATCCCTTCTCTTTGTCGAAATACCAACGAATGATGTTGCCGTTGCATCGTCCTTCTTCCTTCGGTTTCTTGCAAAATTCTGCAATCAGTACAACATTCTCTTAACAATTTTCTGTTTCTTTATTTTTGAAATCATTTTTATTACGATTTACCCTTTAATCTTTTCTCACTAGCTTCTTCTATAAATAACGAAAATTTGCATGATTAATTGCTTCTCTTTGTTTCTGTTTTACGCGCTTCTGCTGCTTGTGTTGCTTCGATTTACAATTTGTATCTTTGTTTATAAAAATGCCGCATGCCATGAAAGTGTAAAGGGAAAATTTGATACAGTTCTGTGAGAATTAAGAGGGTTTTATATCTTGGTTTTTCCTTTCAACAAGCGAAACTTTGTAATTGTCGAGAAAATAAGTTACGTTCTAATCCGTCCTTGGGTCTTGTTATTGGGAAATTATAAGAACATCCTATACTAGGCATCTACGAGATTTTTTGAAATATTTTAAAATATCAACGAGTTAAATATTAGAGGACTTACATTCTACAGCGATATGTATTAATAGGATATCATTAGACTTTTAGCGTCTCTCAAAGTTAATATAGAATGAACGCGCAAAGATTTGTATCGATTTTGTCATGTATGAAAATTGATTTTACTCCTGGTTAGAATAGAAAATCGTTCAGTCTTACCTTCTGCCTCTTCTTTCGTGAAGTTACATGATGCAATCTTAGCTTGACAAGGAACCGCCTCGTGCCTACATTCTGTAGGATCCACGTCATCATGGCGTTTCCAATTCTCATGGGTCATTCTAAATCTCGTTTGGGTACCGCTACCGCAGCTAGAACTGCAGGGTGACCACAGGGACCATTGCATGTAACGCTCTTCGATGCATTTCTAATTAGAAAATCAATACCATGGATGAATTAGATCTTTGATTCAATTACTAAGATTTCTGTCATTTAACCATGTAGACTTATTTAACTTTCTTCGTAAATCTCATGGTTCAAAAGATTTTGACATCTCAGTAATTAATTGAATTTAATTTTTAAATATGCCCATTAACAAACAATTCTAATCTTTTATGCTCTATTAATTCTTAATAGAAAAAGTTCTAGAAATAAAACTTAATTTATTATTAGAATCTAAAATCCTTTTTTTAAACTGTTACGGCGAAAGAAGAAAAAGCTAGTCACTTGTAACATCAAGAAAGAACGTATGTATAAACTAGATGGTGTCGCATATAGTGAACGTTAGTCGATTGCATTTATTAAAAGTCGAATGTCAGTGCGTAACCATAATTCTATATGCGTGACAAAGTACATTTAACAAATGACGTTATTAAATGAAATATGAAGTGACAAATAAAATGAATAATCCAGCATTGTGAGCAAGCAGAAGAGAAATGGTCATTATTTTATAAAGAAGGCAAAAGCAATTTTGTTTCGTTGAAATATCGATTATCCAGCTTTCTTATTCATTTCATCCATTGCTTCTGACTTACTCTGTAAACGGAGAGTTAACTGATCGTTGATTTTTCATTTTTCTTCTGATTAAATCGCTTGACTTACGTGAGGATGCCAGTGGATGGTTCAGCGAGAAATGGTGCAGGTATGGTTTATAGTTACTCGCGCGTGGAACGATTATTCTGAATAATTCGAAATTCGTTAGTAATGATTCGTACATGTACAGAGTGTCCTGCATAACGTAGCACTAGCATAGATACTACGTTATGCGGGACAGCTTGTATATGTAATGATCTTTAAATGTAATTATTATTATTTCTGTGATGACCAAGTTCGATAATTTGTTAATAATAACATAAACAAGCGCAACTGTCAAACGGTAGTTTGTTCTACGTCTTATTTTCACGCGCTCGACGAGACAATAGCCAGAAAGTTACGTGCACGCGTTTTGCGAGGTTTCTGCTAGTTAGCTTGCAATTAGTAAATTTTCGTAAACTATCACTGGATTCTGTACTTGCGACCATTCCTCGATTCCACCCAACGTTGCTTCGTCTTCCTCGTAATCTTCTTTGTTATCATTGTCCTCATTGTTATCATTCTCCTCCTTTTGGATAGACATCTCGCTTACCTCCTCTCCATTCTTTTCATCGCACTCAGAATTCGTGCAATGGTCGGTTTGTTGAAGTTGTTGGTCGCTATAGAAGGCTTTGCACTGTTTATATTTCTTGTTCTTGAAAGCCCTTGTTCTGGTCCTGATTCCGCGGCCGCAGGTCGTCGAGCATTCACTCCAGTCACTCCATTCGTGTAGTACTTCGGACTCGCTGCATCCTTTCACCGATCTTCGCTCTCCATTGCTATATTTAACGTTATTCAATTTTATTTCCTTGCGATAGAGATAATCCGAAACGAATTTGTTACAAGTTTCTAAACCTTCTTGAATACCTATAGCAACGTGTTTCAATATTCCGAATCATACAGATTTCTCTGGCAGAGTTTTCATAAGATCATGTTAATTACCAATCGTGTCCAAGACATTGACGCCTGTCACTTAGCGAGACGTTGCACTTGTTCGCGGCCGCTGCAGCTTCGTTCTCGTAATATCTTTGTCTGAGTTGAGTGCCACGACCGCACGCTGTCGAACATGCAGTCCAGTTGCGCCATGCTGTCACTTTGCAGGCTCCTGTATACGTTATAAATTATATTTTTATTACACTTTCTCGTTAAAACGACCACCTCGAGCAGGAAATAAAAAAGCTAATAAAAAGAGATATTCTCTATGTTCGTGTTTATTTAAACTACTGTTAGTTACCCGTATCTGTGGACGATGGCGCATCTTCTGACGCATTCTTGCAGGCTTTCTCGTAAAGCCTCTGTCTGTTCAAGTAAAGCCTGGCAAGCGGTTTCATATCTAAACCGGAAGGATCGTAAAACGGAGACTTGGAGTCGTTTGGGTAGCTCGAAGTTATCCTACGGATGGGTTCTTGAGGCTCAGTTGGCGAATCCGGTGACTGCAAACGCAAGAAATCTCTTTCATTTTACCGCCTACATAAAACGCAATTGCAGTATAAAGTAATTAAGTTACGCCTATCAAGAAATATCAAATAACGACGATATCGATAATTAAGCACGAGACATTTATCAACCTCCAAACAATTCTCGTCCTCTTCAACTTATTCATTTTATCATTATAAATCTGCTTGTTTTATGAATTTCTTTTATTATTATCGTTCGTTTCCTTTGAAATTAATGAATTATTTTTGCCTCTTTATCATTGCTCAAGATATTTGTATGCGTTTAAATTTGTGTTTCGCGAGGAATCACGAGGACATCGTTGAACGATAGATTTCGAATGATCGAAAAGCGGAAATGTTACGACGCGACGAGGAAAGTCGTTGGTCGGCCGGAAAAGCGTCGCAGGCACGATTACTTTGACGCCGTCAGCGATTTTCACGCGATCCGCAACCCTATTGTCGATTGTTAGGCCCGAGACCTGCGCTTGAATTTATTATGCGATTTTCTGCGATCGACAGCTGACATTGATTTCGTCCTCCTAAACGAATCTTTTCCGCTGGGCATCGAAAACTGCTGAAACGTCTGGGCTTTTCTCCGTCCAAAGGGGAAACCATTTTCCATCGTAAACGGAAACCTATTCGTCTTTACCTGTCATTTGCAATTTTTCATTACGCTTCGTAATTTGTTTCTTATCGGCAGCTGCTTTTCATTTTTACTCGTTGGCAACGATCGAACTGAACCGAATGCAGCCGGAAATGGGCCAAGAGAACGTTTGGAGGATGTTTTTGCGAAAATAACTATATATCGGACGAAAGTAAAATTTAGATCGTTTGAGAAAGGAGTTTTTTTTTACCAAATACGTGATTCCATTATCAGTGCCCGCATCGTAAGGGTACAAATTCAGTTCTTTGTGTTCGATCCAAGTGCAACTATCCAAGCACAATTCCAAACCTGAAACTCCGACGATCCAGTCCGGCGAAGGATCTACAAAATCATTTTTCACGTTTCATATGTTGATTGAAATTCAGTAAACTTCGATCGATCCATCGTAATTTCTAGAATCTCGCAGTGGAACTCGTAAAGCATTTCTAAGTTTCAAGACTCGTCACGTTGTCTAAGTATAAATCGGGAGAATTATTTTTCTCCAAAATGTCCTTACCGATCATCGACACCAAAGACATCAGGTGATGTTCCCGATCAACACGGAATACTGCAAAAGTTTTCCCAGTCACATTGGGATAACTTATTCCTCTGGCTTTAATTATAGTTCTGATCTTTTTACTCTGTGAAAAAGTAAACCATTCGTAGATCGATATTTACAGTCGATATTAATACGAAAAGAAATTTACGCAAAACTAAAATCGAATTCTTATAATTCAAAACAAAGAACTTATTTTGATTAGAAAGTAACTGTAACTCTCCTTATTCCCTGCTACAGTTAACTTTTCATGATAGACAAAAGCGAATTTAAAAAAATGATATAATGTTCTTGTTTTAAGAATATTTACTTGACTCTTTAATTCGGATTCTAATTTCCTGGTCGATCCAAGTTCAGCCAGTTGTTGCAACCCAGGACTAGCTAGACCATCGTATTTCCAAAATCTATAATCAACCGTATGCGATGCTCCAATTACGTCTGAAAATCGAATGAGCCATCCTTTACTAGGAAAGTCCTGGAAAAATGAAAAAAGTTCGATTAAAAATTATTTTCCCATTAAAAGGTCTTATTAAAGAGAGAAAACATATTGCATAGCTCGTACAAAACTGTTGGAGTGTATGTTTTTAGTTTCAATTTTTCGATAATCACCAGCTGAATGCACGAATCTGATCACAATAGTGACTCTCATTTCAATTTGACCGAATATCGAAAATCGTTGAAACGAATGCACACGGATGCGATTCCGTATTTATGGGTAACGTTTTCCTATAACGTTGTTATATACCCGAGCCACATGGTCGCAAGTTAAAAGAAAGTTTTGTCGAACTTTCTTTCGACCCATTTTCACGTCGTAAAGTAACTCGGTCCCCCGCAACATCGATAAAACGGCATCCAGTCTCCTTATTTAGCACGAAGAATTCCAATTGGAATTGAAATAATTCCTCTGCAATTTCAACTTGTTTCGATACTCTTCGTAATTTATCAACGTACATTCTTTATTTTAGTACAACGGTTTCGCACAAAATTAATTCGTAGTCGAATTTTATATACTCGAATTGTTCAAAATAAGTAATTTGTTCCTTACACGGTGTAACGTACGTCTAAATGTCCACGAACTAATCCTTTTTCCTTTCACCAAGACGATAATTTCATTTATACGAATTTTCCAAGAATCTTATTTCAATCGATCGGTACGCTTAATTCGCATCGCATCGATTTCAATGGAAAGAAGTTTCGACGAAAAAGAGGAAGGTCGAAATAAAAGGAAAAGGAGTTGCTTCGCTTTCGTTACTCGTTCGAAGGAGTTTCTCATCGAAGAGACACATCGATGCTTAAACAGGAAGATCGATAGCGATTCTATGCATTTCTGTTTGTCGATTTTATTTGACAAGCTCTCACGTGCCTTAGGATGAGTATTTCTAGACCAAAGTCCCTCGAAAGTAACTTCGTACTTCGCCTCGTCGCAGGCGCAGCACTTTTTCAGAACCTGCCCCTGGTCGTCCGCCTCGGCTCTCGAGTCTTGACATATCTTTAGCACTAAGTTCTGATCATCCATGTACCATGTATCTGGCGTCTCCAATATCGTTGCCCTATGAGAAAAACAAGTGGAAGAACACGTGTTACCGGGCCCACGTTCCCGAGATTCCATTAATTCGAGATGTCAGCGTTTACCGAAATGGGCCAAGCTTTGCGTTTAAATGCATGCTATTCGATGCGAAGTAGAAAGACAGATTTATTTTTCGGTCGTTTTGCCAAATCGTGCAAAAAAAAATAGCGAAATATCGTTCTATCCTTGCTATTCTAGCGGTATCGTGTAACATTTAATTCTGTTAAATTTTAGTATAAACTCCGAAATTGATAAATTGAAACATTTATCTTTGGAATTTTGTTGTATTTTAGAATTCTTGTTTTCCAATTGATCGTGAAAAAAGAAAAAATACTTCTCCACTGAATAAGAACGAATTTTGACGAAGGAAGAATTTTCGTTACATAAAATTGAAAGATAAAATGTTCGTTAAATCGTGTATTTATTAAATTACGCGCGATATTTCCTAACGTTAATTAAAAGATCCGTATATACAAAACAGACCAATATCTCGTTGATTTTCATTTTACAAATTCGAATAAATTACAGGATACGTAAACGACGAAAGAGGAGATAGATACAAATTTATCGATATGATTAAATTCATTACTATTTGCATGCAAAAGTACGTTATCATTTTCCATGCTTGTTATTAAAATGTCCCTTCACCTGATAAATATGCAACCGCTACCTTCGGAAGGGCTGGTCCAGGCCACAGAAATCTCTTCTTTGGACATCTTCGAGGTCTCCACCACGGCGTTCGGACAACTTTCCGAGTATGTTGTCAACAACTCGTCTTGCAAATCGAAGATGCCACTCTCTGCCGCGTCGTCTTCTTTTTCGGGCTCGGCGGATATCAAAAACCTAGTGAATTTTCTTGGCATGATATCCGTACTGTCTGCTTGCAATGTCACTGAAACAAAAAATTGCATTTCATCCTCTTGCTCTTTCGTTCTTAACTCTTTCGCGCAAAGAGATTTTTTTTATTTTAGTCAACGATTCGTATCACGTCGATTACAATTACTTTTCTACCCCCTTTTAACAAACTTCAGGAAGTCGTGAGTCTTTTCGTTCTCCAAAAATCTTTAAGATTCAAAGTGACCATCCTTTGTTGACATACGTTTCTTCGAATAATCCGACTATTCATCTAACTATGGATATTGGCACTGTCCTCGCACAAATTGTTATTTATGCATCGGTATCGTAACGTGATTTACGGCAAGTCTCGTCTTCCGAAGTAGTTCGTAGACGATAATCGAGGGGATTAAGATCGTGACTTTCTAATGAACAATTTTCTGCCACGATGAATGCAGATAAATTCGTTTTCAGCTAATGTCGTTCTGACTTTGCGGACAGGATGGAATCTTGCTCGAATATCCGTTTGTCAGCAAACAAAATACAATAACGAACCAGCGATCTTCAAAATATTTATTTTGGATATCGTCGTTGCAAAATATATTATCGTTTATTTTTCTATTCCTAATCGAGCATCCGTACGTCTCTGTTACAAGGCGGGAATGTACGTTAGTTACCTCGTCGAAAATATTTACTTTATTGCACGTGTCACAACAACGTTGTAACGCACCGCCGAATTCTAGCTGCATATATTTTTTATTGCTACGTTAAATTCTCTGTCTCGTGTAAATTTCTGTAGAGCGTATTAAATTCTCACGGTTTGCACACTCTCGCGACTCGGTTATTTTGTACAAATCTTTTCCGATGCAAAATTCTTCCCGCTGTTTTACCGAAACAATTGTTCGTTTTTTTTTTGCAACAGACGAGGTAATATCGTTGCAAACGTTCGAGTAATTTAGAAAAAGAAATCGAAAAGGGATCAATGAACGTTTAATTTTATAAATAATTATGACTCATTGTTAGACCGATTATTAGGTAATAACTATTTTTCTTCAGATGGATAAACATTAATAAAAATTGGAAAATTATTAAGTGGCGTTACGAAATTTCATTCTATTTGTTCAATACTATCGATTAGTGGAAAATGTTCGATTCGTTGATCTGGCAATGTGTTTTACCGGAAGGATGAGTATGAAGAGAACAGAATCATATATTTTCTTTACAAAAGCCTCGAAAATAACGAATTAATACAAATTTCGATCAAGCGCTTTTAGATAATTAAACGTTGACGAACATTTGTTGGGAATGGAAAATTAATGCCTTCGATCCAGCATCCAGGGAAATTAAATTGGTTGCAGGCATCGTGGTAGTGAAGCAATTGCACTGGTTTTCTTTGACTCATTCGCGCAAATTACTCACGGAACCTTTGCTCAACAGTCTGTATTTTGTGCAACACAGGCGTCAAACAGTCGTGCAATAACGTTGTATAGTAGGTGTGTATACGATGTGATTCGGTTAGCGCGACGAACAGATTGATCGTAAGCTATTGAAACGAAAAACTCGTTTGGGTAAAAATTACGGAACTTCGAAGCTTCTAATTTTACATGCTTGAATTTTTATCGAAATATAATTCGTGCGTGGACATTGAAAATGTTATCGAACGATAAACGATAAAACGCTGTGATAGTGAAGTCTACGGTTAACCGCGTGGAAGTGATGATTTAACGAAACGATAAAATAAAATGTTTCAGCTATAAAATACGAATTATAAAATGTAAATTATTGTCGTAGCAACTACCGTCGATAAATCGTCTCGATAAAAATGATCAAAGGATTTTGTGTTAATAAAAAATAAGTAACTAATTTTGTCTAAAGTAAAGATAATAATATCGTTTTAAATCTCTTCGTAAAGAGATGTATGAGTTAATCGACAGGTATTACAAAGATTATATCGTCAGTGGCAACTTTTAGTATGTAAATCGACGACCGTAGCGAGTTTACAACGAGACAACCAACTTGCCGAGTTCTCGGTTCTGTATGAATTTCAACGACTTTGCAAGCACCCTGTAGACACACAAAACTATCTTTTCCCTTCCAGTCGATTTTACTTCGTCCCGTGCGTATACATCAGAGACGTAACACGCAGATGTTTAGAGCATTTATGGCTTCCGGTATTACGGGTCTTCACAAACTGCGTCTAGTTCACTGAATAACTCAGTCGTCACTTAAACGTTGATCACAAATATTTTTCACGCAATGCCGTGCACGTATCTTCCTCGTCGTATTTTGCTCGTTTAAAACGATCTCGTTGATCGAGGTTTAGTCACCTTTCAAACAGAATTACACGAAGTAAAATAAATTTTTGGTATTTCCATTATTCTATTTTGACTTATGAAAGATGTACGTGTACACGTTTCCATTTAAAAGAATAGTGTAATTGCGGGCAAAAAATTATACTGCGTGTGACGTTATTGCATAAATATCTATTGTAATATTTTTAATTGCAAAATATGTACGTGCAATTATAAATAATTCTCATTTTGGAAAAGTGACTGCCCGCGGAATAGCGTGCGCGACAGAAATTCCAAGAACCTTTTAGTATTCGCGTCATCAGCATGAAACTTGTTATCTACATTTCTGAGTACGCCAAATTTAGCTCTTAGGAAATTTCAGGTTAAATAATTAGCTTCAATTTTTCAGGCAGAATATTTTTCAGTACCAATTACAGTATACGATTAGGAAAGTAATTACATACGCGCTTAATTATGATCGATATCGACTTAAACCTTGAACGAATGAAAATTTTTCAAACTGTTAGAAACGAGAAATCTGGAAACTTTGGAAATCCTGAACAATCTGCGAGCTTTTAACCGCAAAAATTACGAAACGTTCGAGAATCGAAATGTCCTTAAAATATCGGAATTTTTAGATGTTCCGAAAATTTAAACCAGCTGCACGATCTTAGAAAATTTTAAAAGTGTACAAGGTTCGTAAGTCCCGATAATAACTATCGCGAACAAGGTACCGAATGATTACTTTCAACAATTTAATACAATTTAATCTGATTATAGTCTGTCTGCTATAAGCAGGTCTGGGTTAGGTCTAGGTTGCGTCTGCGTTAGTCTTTGTATATACCGATTGTCATTACCGCATTACAAAACAATTCCAATTATAAAACTCTTTTAACTTTTTTTTTAATCGTTCTAATTGTACAGCTTCGTATCAGACATTACATCTTGATAAACTCACGCAGAATTCTTTTTTTACGAACTACTCATTTCCCATAAAATAACGTTGAATCTGCAAAATTCTAACGCGACGTTTAATAGTTGAAAAAGGTGGTATACCGTGAGAGAGTTGAATAAATTCTTCTTGAACGCTGTCTAGACGCAATGACGTTAGATAAATCCAGTCTCGAAACTGAAAGTTGCGCCAGCAAGCAGTGACACATGACTCTCACGATCATTCTCATAACCCTGAATTAGAAGAATTAACTGGGAAAAAGGGGGGAAAACAGAGTTAAATGAAACCTTCGTCGGTGTATCGTGTTTCCCACGCTGACACGCAGAAACAAAAGGAAAGAAACTTGCTCGATTTTGCAATTGCGCGTGGAAAAAATCTCGTCTAAGGTGCTACTCTATAATCTGTTAACGTGATTAGCGGCAACACTTCTAAGGTGCTGTCTTTCCATGAACGTTACACTCGGTTTCTTAGCTTTGTCATCATTGTTCCTCTACATTTTTAGGGATATTAATTTTCAAAATTACAGCTATGCGCCTATCTCTTTCAATTTCGTCCTGTATAACTTATCCGCTAACTTTAATCCGTTAAAGTAACAATCGTCGATATTTAATACCACATAGTTACGTACGTTATCGCGATAACTGTCGTAAGCGAAAGAAAAATACCGAAGAAAAAAAGAAATAAACGGCAGATTACCTTTGCGAGTAATTTTCAAACCAGCGGAGCATGCAATCTATTCAATGTCTCGAGAATTTAGTTGTCACGCTGCTTTATTGCTTCTCCGTTTACGTCTTTAGAAACCCTTCGAACGTAAATCGAGGAGATTTGTTGTCTGCGCGACAAGGTTTAATCGAATTCCCGATAATGTGAGTCCGCTTCATTATTTTTTTCCTTCTCTCCAGGCTGTCTTTTCTTCTGATGTTTTACAATTCTTTTTTCTATGCGATCGATTAAAACCTCTTCAATGTGAATTCTACGTTTCTTCCGCATCCTGTTTCTCCGTACAAAAATTGTCTTTGTGAGGTGACTGTCTTGATATACTGTTGTATACATACGCTATTGTATCATTTAAGAAATTGAACGATTCTCTAAAAGGAATCGATACATTTTATCCATCTTTTATCCCGTATACATATTATAAAATAACAATTAAACTTAAGGTAACATCACAAAGAAGCAACTTCGTTTAAAACATCCAATTTCTCACACCTTTTAAATTTACGATTCTCCGGCAGCTTCCATTGAATTAACCAGTAAGTTTCATTAATCGCGTCAGTTTTATCCAAGCAGATCAACATCGGGTAAGCTCTTTAATGACTGGGGGAAGAATAATAGCAGCACGAAGACGTAATCGCAAATAACTTTTCTCGATGACCGTATAATCTAACGAAACGATCGCTCTCTATCATTTTACCGTATTTAAAGTTTAATTAAACAGTTGAAGGCTTTCCCCCTGTCCGACAGCGTGTAATTAGATTTAGCCGTGGCAGTTAAATTACAAGCAAGCTTTCGTTATTATTTATGACTCCTTCACTTACGACGTGCAATAAAGAAAGCAATATAGAGGATATGAATAAACAAAATAAGTATATGCGAAGCTTTACGCGCCGATATATAATAAAAATAACTTTTTCTCTGTTTTATGATTCGATAGGATTTCTGCACGATGTATGTGAGAACCTGTTGGGGCATAAGTTTGCGAGTTAAGTGTTCGTTTAAGCACAAGCTACTATTTGTAGTTTGTAGAGTACGGCGTTAATTAACGGAACAATTTCAGCTTTGATTAAATTTTTAAAGTTTCTTTGATCGTGAATAATTTGGAAGTGACGCGTGCGAAACCCTACTGTTAAGCGAGTGAACGCTTAATATTTTGCAAACGAAATAGAAAGAGTGGAAGGTTTTAATTGCGGTATGGAAGGACTTTGCACTGCGTCCTTATTATTCGTTAGTCTTTTTGTCGGCGGAGAAACACAGAAACTGAATTCGAGAGATGACCATAAAACACATTCGCCGCTTTCTGTACACTATTGTCTTTTCCTACTAAATTGAAATTGCTGCGAGGTTGAAAAAGGAAACGGAACCTCTTTCCGCAAATTCGCAGCATCCTGAACTCGGTTAAATATTCTCAACGTTACGATCGTTTGTTATACTTTTCAAATTTTTTTAGTAACGCAATAGTCTTTTTTAATGATATTGTTCGTAGCTTTTGAAACACAAAGAGAGAGAGAGAGAGAGAAAGAATAGTTATTAAATCATCAAAACAAAATGGCGAGATGCACGTGTTTGATTAAAAAACAATTGATATTCGAAAACGACTATTTACAGGTATGAAAAATGGTAGGAGAATTTTATTTATCAACGCGTTTTTCTACCGTTTTGATAAAAAAAAACATATTCTCCTGCAAAAAAACGGCAGTGCATGGTTTATGGCAGAGGTGTGCAAAAAAATCGAATTCTGGCTACGTGAATTTTTTCAAAGTGGAGACTAAAACATTTAATGAACGAAGGATAAATAAGTTACACCATTTTTTTCAAAGATTAAAAATATTTGCACGTATCAATCAATTATACCATTGGGGAGCGTAAATGTAGTATAGATATATATAAAGAAAAGATAGGATATTCTATATAACTGCGGAAAGAAATACTTTGTTTCAGACGTATATCTTGAATTTTGCCTGACATAAATTTAGAAACCTAAAATCGTACTACGATTCATGGTATTATAATAAATGAACCGAACATAGTGGACGAACTAGCTCCTATTTCATTTAAGTAGATCAAAAGATCAAATAGTAGGTAATATTTCACGAGCGTAACTTAAAATTTATCGTAAGAACGCGAGCTTACAATTTGATAATCCTATATCGTATGTTTAAAAATATTGTTTGTAAAACAATTTTTTTTCTTATCAAATATTGCCAATAAATGTCTTTCGAATTAAACGAAGAAGCAGAGCAACCTTTAGAGCGAGATGCGTATCACTGAGCGATCTGTAGAAATGCCAAAGAAGTTTTGGATAGCGGCGACGTGTAAGTACGTGTCAGAGTGTGATAATTTCAGAGAAGAGTGAGCTAAATCGAGCTTTGTCAGAGTCGGACAGTTGTGAACTATAAATCGCCAACGATTGCCTCGAGCACGTTTCCGAGGAAATTCGAATTTTTCACGAGGATATTCCATTAAAAGCTATCATTGTCCATCGTCGAACTTTCCTTATTCGAATCACCACCGATCCATCGAACAAGTTCGCGAATGTTAAAACGAAACGTTCGGAAGAAAACATAGTACGTAATAAACGTGGAAACTTTAATTCGACAAATTCGATAAAGCGAAAGTTTAAAAACAGAGAACCCTGGATATTTTCAAACGTTTTACTATGCACACTCCATGGTAAAGTCCGATAAATTTATGACAAAATATCTAGATCTCATATATCGCTGGAATCGTTTCTAAAAAGAGATTCACTTGCACCACTTTTCCATGAAGACCTTTATATACTCCCGATGCCGATTTCCACGATACATTTACAGCTACGAGTCACGAACTCTGATAGAATGCTTGCGCAAGCGGAGGAAAACACTCGATAAATCTGAAGGGAATTCACGCGCGATTCTCTTCTCAACGATCCGTCTCCGATTCCACGGCGCCATTATAGTTGATTCGATGTGACTCCATTCGCATTCGCGATTCCGACCTGTGCACCGGTTGCACCCGGTGCATTCGTCGAACTGCATCCACGAGCGTGTACTTGGCACCTGGCTCGCGGCCAAACTGTTACGTAATGCATTAATTCACCGACTCGTAGGATTTGCATGCGTTAGTAACCGTGGGGCGTCTACGGTCCACGTTCACCGGTTTAGTTTTCGATAATTGCATCCAGTGTTCCGCTCGATGACTGAGACAAACTGGATTACCGCTACAGCTATCGGCCTGCTTGATGTTAGAAATTTTGTACCGAGTCGCTTTACGTCTCCGCAGATTCTAATAATTTTTGTCCAAATACACGAACGAAGGCTCGTTTCTATATCTTTTTTATATACATCTTTCGTTCCGATTTTACGTTTCTTTGCATACAAGTCTTATATTTTAACGGATGGTAGTTGCCGTGTTAATGACGCTGTGTAAGCGAATATTAGGTCCCGCTATTAAAAATATAAAGACTGATGCGGGCGAGCGATGTGACGTTGTTTGCGATAACGCTGTGCTATTCGACGGGTTAACATTTTTAATGATGCAACGCACACGAGCGTGTGATCCGGCCATTAGAGATATAAAGCAGTCAAATTGCACGGCGTTACCAGTGCGAACGACGGAAAAATTGCGAATTAGTCACTCTGACTAGTTTGTTAATTACGTTGTTCGAAATATAATCCTGTCCGGTATAAATGTGTACAGCGTTACTGGTGCGAATAACACGGCGGAGAAACTTTGCCAGAAACCATTCGAATACTCGAAAAACTCACCGCTGAAAAGCAATAGAAATTGTATAATAATTCGCCGATTCTTTATTTCGGCTACTTTGCTAATTCGAACGTACAGAAAATAGTCCTGTCAAATCGTAAAGCGTCATTGCCGAGCAATCGCTACTAAATACGATGCCACGCCAACGATTAATCACAGAGGAGACACGCGAACACGGTTCCCGATCGATCGTATGTAATTGACGGCGAACCTCGCGGACATGGCCACTGCGAATGAAGAATGGATTGAAACGTGTCGATGTATTTCATATTCGGTTGATTTTTTGGAAGAGGCGCGGTGATAGAAAGCCGGTGTTTCTAGTCGACGGATGTAACGGATGAGAATATGCAGAAAGCGAGGTATAATTGCGATTGGTGAGAGATTGAATGGAACACAGATGTGGTCGGAGAGGCGAACAGGGATAGCTGGAGGGATGGAAGAGAGAGAATGGGGTGGAGTTTATGGGAGAAAAGGGACGCGAAGGTGAGTTTGTAGGGGAGGATGGCTTTACCGAGTTTGTGAGTGTTGGGTGATATAGAGATTTCGGTTGTAGAATAACGCAGAACTGGAGTTCTAGCGAGGAACCAGGCTCCAGTTAATGATCATGGACCGTGGATCTGTTTACGAAAACTTATATTTATGGAACAGAACTAAAGTATAGAATTTTTACTCGAGAGAAATCCGTTTCCCTGTTAAACGAAGATAGCAGGAGGGAAATACGATAATCACGTTTTTTTTGGTATATAAGCACTCTTCTTTGTTTTAATTTTAATGTCACTTTATAACTAAACAGAAGAATTTTAATATGACATAATCCAGAACGAAAAAATCGATCGACGATGAATTTCCTTGAATTTTAAAACTGCTTTCACGCAAAAGATAGGAAATGTGACTTATCGTGTCTCCGCCTGTGGTCGGCAAATATAATATTTTCTATTCGCCCAGCTCTCGACTAAATCCCTGTAATTTCCTGGCGGAAGCAGCCCGGATTTGATGTCAAATTTAAAAAACGGGGACATCCGCATCTGCAGAAGTTACACACCCGTTTTTATCTTATGGAAGATAGTTCTCGACGAGCGTTGAATCGCCAGTGTGCCCTGAGTCCGCTGGTGTCCCGCATAAGGTGACGATACGTCCTAGGTTCCTGGGTTTTTTCAATAATTGCCGTCATTATGGTCGAAGGAAGCAGTTCGAGAGAAATTTCTTTCCTTTATTCTCGAAGGTCTATTCAGACGTTGAACGGAGTACTCTTGCTCGAGATATATCGAATGGTAGGACTAGACGATTGATAGCTCACGGTGAACGAGACTACGGTGAGTATTAAATTTTCACTGAAATCGCGTTGTTGGCATTATTTATCGCCACGAGAGAAAAACGTGCCATTTTTTAATGGAATTAGTTACGATGATATATTGTAGTTATTACAAGTTGAAAGGTCTCGTTCGCCTCGGAGTTTCGTGGTCGTTAATTGTTCAAAGTATAAACAAATTTCTCCACTTTTCGTTCGTTACCGTTTCCGTTCATACGCTATTTTTATCGCGTGTAACGTAACAAATTCTGGAGGGTTTCGCGTTATCGGAAATTCAATCTTCACGATGCTATCTATAGGTGATATTCTACGTAAAAATTTGTTCGCAGGGAGTTCACGATATAATTAATTAAACAAAAAATGTACATGTTACCAAATACCATAAAGTGGTATAAAAGAATTTCTCTTTCTCTGCCCGTTAATTACAATATCCAAATAATTATTTTTGAAAATATCGCGCTCGAGTAATCTTCTCGTCGCAATCGTCGAATAAACAGTAATTTGCAAGCTGGTTCTTCGGACCGCGAGCCCATTCAACTATTCAAAGTAGTCGCGAAGAGAATTAAAACTTCGAAGCGACTCGATTCAAGTCCACCTTAACTTCTCACGACAAAGTTCGTTATTTCGATGTCGATTCGCGTTTTGATCAAACTATGCGTGAATGAATTTTTCCCAATTTCCGCGACATTCCAGACGTACATCGCTTAATCGTTTCTTTCAGAACACTGTCGGACAAAACGAACTGAACGATCGAACTCGTTAAAGACGAGCGGTTTGGCTTGATCAAGTATCGTCGTAGCTTTCTAAAAGTAAAAGTAAAATCACTTAATAAAATACTCACCAGTGTATTTGGTATTTGGCATATAGGAGAAGACCATATCCGATCGATTGAACAAGGTGATAAACAGGTGGTATTTCTCTTCCGCACTGGAACGAGGCATCGTTGTGCCGTCTATGAGTCTGCTACATTTTGTCGCACTTGTGCTCGTTACTGCAGCCAACAGCAACAAAAAGCTGCGGACGTCCCTTAAGCTTTTTATTCCCTGCGAAAATGAAGCGCAAGATTGCTATTAAACTATGAACTTATCTTGACAATTATAAACGACCGCTATTATGTTTTGCGCTACGTTTACGAAATTAGCAGTTTAGCGAGCTTTTCGTCTATGTGGAAGCTACGAGCTTCCAAAGAACTTATTTATAATTTTAAGGATCGATGTTTGAAAGCGAATCCAAGCTAAACGTCGAGAGAGACAGATTACGATACTATTAACTGTTTCGTCGTTACTTTAAAGTATACACAAAGCATCCAGAGTTGCAAGACATATCGTGAATGAAAAGACTGAAATCATAATTTCAAGGCGTTCTATTTCCACTTTCGAGCAAAGTGTTTGGCGCAAGCGAGAAAATTCGTAATAAACGACAGGACTGAAGATGACACCCCGGTTAAAACTTTCTCCCCTAGCTGTTGTTTCGATTAATGGCCATAATGGCGCGTACGATTCGGTTGGAAATTGGCCTAAAACTGGCGTAGTAAATAAGAATGATACGTCATGAGCGGGATTAGGATTGGAAACCGATTGACCTAATTTATCCACCAACACCCACGGACAAATGGTGGCATACGGCGAGTTTTCATTTCACGTGAATCGAAGGGACATCGTCTCTTTCTTCTACCCGTTGGCTATAGTGGAAAAACGAAAAATTCCAACTATCATCTCGCACGTTCTCCGCTCCATTGTATTCTCTGCACGTGGCTAAATCTATATAGAAAAACAATTCACGCTATTTCTTTCCCTGGATATTTCTTTTCTAATGGAAAAGGAAATTTCTTTCCGATGGAAAGGAGAGATATAGCGGCAGAGGATTTAATACCAGTGAAAGTTTCGTGTTTATGTATTCGCCTGCATTTTATATTCAAACTTATCTCTTCTTTGTTAGAATAGATAGTAAATCTTAAGATTGTATTCTTTAAAGTTTGGTCAAATTTCACATCTCGAAATAATATTCTTTTTATTCCATTATGGATCTTAATAAAAATATATATTTTCACGAACAAAATCGAAGAGATTCGTTTCGTCTTTTAAAAATGTTAAAGATACGCGAAAAGTTTTAATTTTTTTGTATACGTTTGAATGCTTTCGCGATCCGCTAGCTTATGTGCTCCATTCAATCGACCGATAACACGATTTTCTCTTACGTAATTCTCAAGGCTCGCAGTATCATTGACGTTCGCCTTCGTGAAGATCTTGGCCGTGGCGATTGCAACGAATCCGTTTACGTGGCCGAGAAAGAATCAATGTCGTAACAACATTCGATGAATTATAACAGACAATGAATTATAACGCAAAATGTTTTACGAAACATCTCTCGAATACCTACGAACGCTTTCGCAAGATCTTCTGTTCCACCCTTCTCGAATATTACTGATTTTCAGTTTAGAGACTCTTAAAAGTTATTAGCTTCGTGTTATTAAATTATTTGAAAAAATATTCTGTCCTAATAAGCTTCTTTAACGTCCTTGATAAATTTTATTAAAGATACTCTGCATATTTGGAAAAAATGTATTATACATCGAAGGAAGAACGAAGCGTTTGATTTACGTAGCAGCATAGACGAACGTAACAAAAAGGGGGAAGCAAAAGTTTCGAAATTCCTTGTAATTAAGGTCATTTCCTTTGAACCTGCTTTTTCCGATTATTAGAATTTATTATTCTTTTCGCCGCTTTTGCGAATGAAGAATGACTATGTCAGAATTTAGTTGTAATTATATTTTGGCTGTAGACAAGGAGGAAAGAAAAATTGACTTTAACTTCGTTAAACGCAACAAATTCGACGCAGGCAGCAATTTTCACATTAACTTGCGTAATGCGGATTAATGGAATGCTTTTCGTAATGCGTTTAGTACATTAGGTGCTGCTACGTCATATTGAAGTAAAAACATATAAGCCAGGAGAAAAACCCTATTTATCGGACAGATTTACATAATAATATCAACCATATGAATAGTAATTCATGGAAATGTAATACACCCTCGGATTTATTAAAAATCCAAAAATGTTTTCGCTACGTTAATATGCAAATATCAGTTGCATTATTAACGTATTATAAAATGTGGCGGTATAACTATGTCACACGTTATCACCTGTCACCTACGTACTAAAAGATGCGTAAGAAGTATCCTATATTTTAACGAACTAAAGCGATCCGCAAGAAAGGAAAATATCCTACGTCTATCCTCGACCGAATAAAAGGAAAAGATCGAAAGAATCCTATTAACGATCAACGACCTGCGTTTTTCCTCGAAATTCCACTAATATACTGCGAAATAATCACGGATGAGACGAATAGATTTACTAATACCAGCGTAAAATAGATTAATAAATAATCCGATTATCGTACTAGCTATTTAACGAAGAACTCGTCGTTCCAATGAAAACAAGAAAATTGGCAATACGCAATACCTTTTCTGGTATCCATTAACGTCAACGACCGTTGCAAAATACACTGGGAAAATGATCACGAAACAACGTATAAAGTTGTAAGCTTAACCAAGATATATTAACCCCGGTAGAACACGGCGACAATTAACCAAATCGATTACTCAACGTTCGCGTAATCGCGCGATAAAAGCCGTCGCGACGACGGCATTTCCATTTTGCCAGCGGCGTTACGTCTCGTTAATTACGTAACGACGTCGTATTGTGCAACAATGCAAAATTCAGCGGATCTCGCGGAACGGGCCGCAGCACGAAATGTCACTTTGCCGGATGCCGGCTTCTATTAAATTAGAATACGAATATTCCGCGGCGAAGCACGTGAACGCCGGCCAGCCCGGCGTCTGCCCACACGTGCGAGGAAACGTGTGCCTGTACTACTTCGTCCGGCTATACACGTACACCAGTTACTGGCTGACTCATCTTGGCAAAGATACAGCGCGCCATCAGACCGAACGATTCTTTTCTCTTTTCTTCTCGCGCGTGGCATCATACCAGCGAACAGTCTGTTACATATACACAAGCTAGAAAATTCGCGCGGTTTCTTCCTCGTGAATTTTTTCCTCCGCAGTTGCTGTTAAAACGATCGATGACGCGGTATCGTGATTTCTTACGAATTAAAAATGATCAACGGTGACGTAGTATCGCGCTTATTAACGAATTGAAAATAATATCTGCCGAGCAAGTGATAAAGTCGTTGCGGAATCAAGGTTAGCTGATCGAGTATGCGTTTTTTGAACATTCCGGTGCTTCCGTAAATTAAAAATGACAGTCGACGAGTTTTACGAGATAAAAAGCATTAGGTTGCTCTTCTTCTTTCAAGTTTTTATCAGAGTTTATATTCTTTTAAAATGACGGTAAGTAGAAAAGAAGATAGAAAGAGCAGAGATAACGGAGTTAGGTGAAAGAGGTATCGAACGCATGTGGTATTAAAATACAGTTTTATGATCTTTTTATTACGCTTATGCATCATAAACATAGGAAAACTAAAACTGTATCGAACCATAAAGAAAGAGAACCTTTTCGGTATATCGTTCTATTATATGTTTGGAAACTGGCTTTAAAATATCCATCGATAACCACGTTATTTACACGTAAATGCAAATTTGTATTGTGCCGGTACGAACGAATGCGGCAACAAAGATTAATCGTTTCACGTTGCATTTTAATATTTTCTATCGATTATCTGCCTGATTAGTTATACCGACTATCTCTACCCATTTCTTTTACGAATACCTCGTATAGCGGATTAATTATCGTTTCTTCCCTCCTTATCCGCTCTCAAACCATCGCCTTATATTGCGCTCTATTTTCCCTCCCACAAAATATTTTTAATTTCAAGATTACGAGTCGTACAAGTCCTTCCAAACATTTTTCATCGTTCGATCGTAGGATTCCAGGGCAATTAAATCTCTCGTGTCTGATAAGGACGAATAACAAGCGTCAACCAACCATAAATTCACCGTGTCTAAATATATTGGCCGAAGACGATACATATAGGGCGGGGTATTTGACTCGATCTGGCATTCTGCCATTCACGCTGCATCCTCGACCGCAGAGTAACGACAGGAATTCAAACAATACCTCGTGTTGAGCCACGACCATGATTTTCCTGCGCGTCGCGTCACTATTCGAAAGTTTACGCAACTCTATTCGCAAATTCAATTGGCGTGTTCGATTCTGGTTTCATTTTTACCAAGCGATTCGAATCGAAAGGTTCGCCCAACAGATTGCTCCACTTTGTTTCACCTTTGTTCCCTGAACTATAGCGGCGGTTATAGCGCTTTTAGCTCTAAATACTAAATACTAAATACTAACTGAAAGCGATTGAGAATAGTTTTGGACGCGCTAAAGGTGGTTTGGCATAGAACTATACACGTCCCTGCGATTTCTTCCGCGAGTCAACTCTAAATACGATATTGGATCGTAATTCGGGCGATAAAATGACAAATGATATAAATTTAATGACTGTTAGCACTAAAAAAGGTAGAAATTGGGAAAGAAAATCGACGTACCCACTGGTAATATTCGATCTTTTTCAGTGGATTCGAGGATAGAACCTATATTATCCCTATTATACGATAGTAGGTGAGGAAATAAGTTTGAAGGGCGAGTGAAGTGGAATAAAAAAAGAGAATAGGAGGAGAAGCTTGGGGGATTGCATCGAGTAGAATGAAACTGCGAAAGACAGATTGCAAAGACCGCCAATACGTCATTCGAATGTCAATAAGTTGGGGGAGGACGTTTTAAACCTCTGGAATGGTAGTAATTTTCGTAGAAATTTCGCTATTAAATTTCAGATCAATTTAAATTTCAGAGTCGAACGAAATTCCGAAAACGTGAAACTGATATTTACGAGAGAATAATTTTTCATTTTCAAATAACAAGAGTTATTTGCTGCAGCAAGAACTGTTATACGGTTGTAACAATTTCCTTGCGTCTCTTTTGTGTTTTTTCTAGAACGCTCGTTTTCACAGCCATTGCTAGTAAATAAATATAGACATATAGTACGTTGTAACGAAAAATAGAAATGTCCGTCATATCTGGCGAATACATTCTTTTGTAGAAAAAAGTGGCTACCTCCGCACAATGGTATCTATTGTAGCAAACATTCCTATTCGAAAAAAATGCTCTTTCAGTTCTCTATTTCGGTAACGTCAACGACCATAATTTTTATTAGCCCTGCTACATTTATCACAAAAAATTGTAACTCTACGAGTTCAACTGAATCTTTAGATTTTTTTTCATTTTATTTCCTACACTTTTGAAACTTTCGTATCTATCGTTGTATTCTCTTCGTATTTTCCTTCTTTTATTTTCATTTCGTTCCGTTTCCTTCCTCTTAAGAACAGACAGTTTCGTTCTGGCGTATGATCCGTAATTTCTATTCGAACAGGCACGCGATTATTTGTTGCTCGTATTGCTATGTATTATTGCTACTTTTGTTGTTAACGAACTAACGGAAGTAGCGCGATTATCGTTACATCGTTACACGTTAATCGCGCAACGATACAATCAAGCGTTGGTACATTTATACACGTCTATCGCTGGAAACGCGCAGCTTTTTCAAATGAAAACGGATATTCCAGCCAGGTCGAATAATACTCTGATTGCGTTTGCTTTTCTTGATGCGGCCTGCGATCGAACGCAGAATTTAAAGAGCGTATGCCCGGTAGAACATGAGAAAGAACAAGTTGTTGTCGTGGCATTTGGTAAACATTGTTTGATAAAGATTTGAGAATAGAAAGCAATTACGTTGAATTCGTTCGTATTTGTGAATATAACAAATTCCTATTCAAACATATTTTTTAACTACTATCTCTTCCATGGTTTTCTACAAATTTTTTAAATTGTTCTAAATCTAAGACACGACCAGTTCTTTGTGTAAGCGAAAGTTGTATCATCTTGCGTAACTTTCTCGAAGAGAATCGACAAAACGTACAGGAACACGGTTTCCCTCTAAAATGATTGATGAACGTGATCAAATGGTTCGAGAAAACGAGCAACTCCACCATTTTCTACCATTTTCCACCATTTATTTAGGACGCGGCTTTTAAAGTTTGAAAAAAAGTTTCAGTCACAACGTCGTCATTTCTTTTTACTTCTACTTCTTTAACTCAACTTCCGTCTTCTTCGACGTAGAGTTTCTATGAATTCTGACTACTCGAACCTTCCTCGACTTATGGTATCGAGCTGTCTTTGCGGTAAAAAATTATTTTTTAATACTTAATAGCTTTTTACAACAGCTCGTATTTCTTTTTCAACCTTTTACGCAGAATTCCATCCCCATATTGTACGAAACCGTACATCTTCCTCTACGGTATTTCAACAAAGTTTCAACATTCCCTAGTCCGCTCGCTAACTAACATTTCACTTGGGACAAGCGAACAAGTAGAACGAGTCTTTCTTGTTCAATTTTTACAGAACTTTTAGCAACGTAGCGAGATTGTTGATATATTAATTGGAACGCCAATTATATTTGTAAATATCACGTTGCTTCGATGTAGATACAGTGTTACACAGTTACGAAAGAGCGCACTCCGTTATAGAAAGTATCTCTGTGAGTCATTTCTGGGGTCATTACCAGTTTGCACCCTTGCTGCCCTCGTGACCTTTTCTAGTAGGCACTTGGTAAATCGTGTGCATCGAACGAATCGATATTCGCATAGTGTCTTTGCGCGTGAATGATTCCGTTAAAGCTGATTTCGCAAACGTTCCCGAGGTACAATAAATGCGAACAATGTACCATTTGTTTCTGCGAGAAGAAATATTTGAAAACATACCGACGGATTGAAATATTTGCTAACAAGAAGTTGACAAAATAGATATAGAAAGAATAATTGATAAAATAGATATTACATAGAATATAGGAAATGTTTAGATATTTAAATTAGACGAGCAGCAATCTAGTTACCGCAAATTTTCATGTTAATCTGAAATTTCATAAAACTTTGCGACATCTCCGTTTGTCACGTGCTTGAAAACATACAAGCGTAAGATACGAAGACGTACCATCGCATATGTATTTCAATTTAACGCGACAGTGAAATGAAACGAAGAATAGAACTGTTCGTTTCATCGTATTGTATCAACATTCCCCGTTGGCAATATACATAGATCGTACACAAAGGGATTGTGTCGTTTATTACATTCGCTCTTAGTATTATCGTTCGATACGTTTTTAGCAACATTTTCACTATTTTATTTGTTTAAGACGAACTAAATATAGATAAAAATTCTATAAATTTTATCAGCTTGGACGATAGCAAGGTACGCAAATGAATTATACTTTTATCCAATATATCATTATATTATATTATACATATAAATAACGATAGAAAGGTATCCTTAGCTATCCCAAAATGACACGAAGTAACGGAAGATTATCATTCCGAAAGAAAAGTTTACTTTGGACTATTTAATTATAGATAAACAGATTAGAAGGAATAGAAATTTTGCTTTCGATAATGCTCGATAACTGCTTTTTGATATTATCTTTGATCTATGCAACGTAACGATATATTTCATAGACCAATCTGTTTATACATAACTGTATTATCATCTTAAGCATTCGTTCAAAAATCGTTCAATTTCTTATATACATAATTCTACCGTAAAAGGTATAAAAGTTTCGTACTCACCATGATGACAATTGGAATGATTTGTACACGAGCGTAGAGAACACGTGGACCAAACTTAAAACGGTTGGTTTTCGTGCTTCATGTCACGTGCGTTAAACATAATCGAAATAAACATTCGAAAGATCCGTCACGGTCGCGAGTCTCTGGCCAACTGACTGCGTCTGTCGAGGCGCGCTAATAACAACTCACCACTTGCGCAGATTGGCTGCGCAGTGCGTTTCAAAGGAGATTCTTCCGCTAGGGTCAGACAGCACACTCCATATGCGTTCCTGTTATTTCAACGCGGCTGGTTAGAAACTTTTTCTACTTCCGTTTGGATTGATAGGAAAGAAAAGTCAACCAGATTCTTTAACTGTGACTCAAAATTAACTCGAAACGAAATTTCGTAAAGTACCAAAATGTGCGAAATGATGGAATTTCGAATTTAAAGCTGGATAAAATACGATTCTTTAGTCTGTAATATTTTATTATGCGATACGAGATCGTAATTGCGATATTACAGAGATAATTACAGAGTTTGTTTGCGCGTTCATTCGTTAGGAGTAATAAATTAATTTATTGCAAAAGTTTAATAATTACTTATATATGGACGCGATTATTCCGGATTGAATTACCATCGCTATATTTATTTTGAAAATAAATGCAAACCTATCTTGGTTTGAAATAAATGGACCATATATACGCGTATATAGTGAGAAAATGAATACACGAATTAAATTATCTTTATGGCAAGACATGATCGTAGATATTAATTAAATATTTTTATTACGCGTGTCGAATTGTTCGTATTTCCTGTTTTAATAAAAAGTACGATAAAGTGATTTCGTTTCGCCAATTTCGAATCATCGAAGGCCGGACTCTGGTTGATCGGCCGCGTGTTCGAAAATAAAACATAGGCGCCACGATAATTACCAAATAATGTTCTCGCAGCGAAACAGACGAAAGAGTTCAATCGAGTGCAAGGTCGGCCTTTATTGAGTAGTTTTTTAAAAGGTCTAGAAACGTCATGAGTTGTTTCAAACCTTTTATTCCCACACACCGCTGTCTGCTCCGACTTGAACGTTGCTTTGAAATATAAGTAGAAAATAATAACTCGTATTAATAAATTATTTTACATTAAGCGCATGAACATTTTCAAACAAAATAATAAATTTATTATATTTTCTTGCGATATCGATTACTCTTCTATAACCTATAGCTAATTTATTAATTCATTAGTATTATATCGTCAATTGATAAATTATTGTACGATAGAATACGGAATAAATATTCGTGCAAAAATCGAGCCCTCAATTCCATCTCACGGAACGCTTTCTGAAACTATCAAAATATCGAACGAATCCTTGACAATTGCCTGTCATTAAGGCGTTCGTCGTTGTTCTTTCCCTTCCTTGACGTTTCGGGGGAACCGGTTAAAATCATCGTGTGATATCTCGACGAAAGTCCCAGGGTGGAACGTAACCCGACAACCGAAGCGTCCGGCGTGCCGCGTGTCGATTATGCCAAACGATGGTTTAAACCGCGAGAATTATCTGTAAATTGTACGATCCGCTTGCCAGAGGAAACGTACGGTGACGGTGTTCAATGTCGCGAAGTCGTCGACTGTCTTAAACGAGTGGACGGTCGTGAGACATCGCTGCCTTTCAACCGGCAGGAACATGAAATCGAAACCCGACCACATCTCCGAGAACGCCGCAAATTTGCCCACGTGTCGTAGACATCGAAACCCGGACCGTGTCCAACCGACGCCGAGCCATCGACAACGATAATGAGCCAATCGATTACGTCGCACCAACCGTCAGGTTTCCCACGCGATTTCGTCGTTTCTTAAATCGCGACAAATTTTTCTTCCTTTCCTTCCAGCAAAATATTTTTAGCTCTCTTCTTATCACATTCCGTCGTTCATTGCGATTTTTAATATATTTCGTCGTTTTTCCTTCGTTTTCGTTTGATTGTGATAACAGCTTGGTTGGAGAGAAAAGAAGGGATTCGCGCTTGTGTAAATGTGGAACGCTGATAATTAAGCGATTCACGCGATGAATATTTGAAGGGAATAATTCGACTCGCGATCGAATAAGAGATTATACGATTAAGACGTGACTGAATCGCAGTTGCATCGCAACTACGGATAAATGACTGTATTTGTGATGTGTGTCTTCGTTTAAACGGCGGTTAAGATACCTAAGTTACTATAAAATAACTTTTCTACATCCATCCGATTAAGATTCTCGGTTTTCTCTTTTCCTTCAGCGAAAAATAAATCGACGAATTCGTTCTATCATTGTCTGTTATTATCGTGCCCGTAATTGCAAGTCGCCCGAATTAAAGATGTTTGTTTGAAAATTTAGAAAACGAAGAGTCAAGAGGCGCTATAGAAAAAAGTGCGATGTCAAGCGCAGGGACTAGGTGTAACTCCGCAGCTCAAAAAAATAGAACTCTGACCAGTCAGTCAGGACGTAGTTCGATTGCTGTTCGTATTTACCGCAATTCTACAAATATCTTTAGAAAAATATTGCTTGAAGCAATTCGTTTAACAATGAAATATTGTAGATAATTTTGAAAATTTGTAGTTTAAAGTATCTTAACGACATATTAAACGACAGATTAAAAGTTCAATGTCGACGTATAATGAAAGATATAATTGCAATTTCAGGGAGATTCCACAAGTAATACCACGGAAGATGCTTCCACCAGTAATAAATCGCTCAGTAATTCCGCTCGACGTTCGCCAGGAAAATCATCAGTCAGTCCAATTTCGCACAAGAGGCCCACATCCAGTCTGCCAGCTGGATCGACGCTTAGACCCGAAAATCAATATGCAGTGAAAAAGAAACGTTACTTGCTACTAAAGAAGGAGTTGACTGACAAACAGGTAATTATTTAGAAATGATCTATCACGAATATTCGCGCATTCGAAGCGTGATCCTCTGCTGTTACGAAAAAATCCATATTCTTAAAAATTAGAATGTCTTCAAAATATTCTCTGATCGTATAATCCAGAGACTGTCATAATTTTTCAGTCAAAAGATTTAACGCGAATTGAAATTTCCACAGAAAACCGCGCAAGATCTGTACAACGAGATGTCTCAACTGCGTGAGAAACTAATCACCAGTGGTGCCAAAGATCCGGGCAAAGTAGAAACTCTGAAACTGGAGGTTGGATCGAGCAAACATTTTCCAGCAACTGAAACAAGTTGCAACGAGGCAGCAAACGTTCACGCCGAGAAACTCTCCGTCGGCAAAGAAATGCTCGAATCCTTGGAGGATCGATTACGGGAGATCCCGAAGAAGTTGCGGAACCTTTGCCAGGAGCTGTTGGACAAACAGTCGATTTTCGTGGCTTTCGTGACGTCGCAACTGATCAAAGCCAGCTCAGAAGGGAACGACCCGGATCACACGAACTCGGAAGTGACCATGCAGCTCGAGATTCACCAAAGAGATTACGACGCTCTTAGGTCGCATATGAACGAAATACAGGAGATCGAGGAGAAGTCGATCGCCGAGTTAACGAGGAACGTGCAGCATCTAATCGACGAGTACGAGCATTCCAGGGCGAAGATAAAGGAGACGAACGCGGCGGAAGCGCAGAGAGAACTGCAAACGCAATTAAATGCTACGATGGAGGAGCTGCAGACGGAAAAAGAGAAGAATAACCAAAACAAAGAACGCCTTCGACAGACCGAGACGCAATTGCAGAAAGCACGTACGAAGATCAGGGAGATGGAGACGCACATGGCAAACGATAAGGATAAGATTCAGCAGCTGCAGGGCAACGTGAAGACCATAGAAGGTCAAATGAAGCAAAAGGATTTGGCGATAGAGGGTAGAATGAAAGACATGCAGAAGACGATGAGGAACAGCGAAGATCTGGTCGCTAAGGTGGAGAAGCAGAGGGATAGCTTCGAAGCACGGTTGTTTTTCCTGCTTTTCTGAAGTTCCTTTTTCCTCTCTTCTTAACTTGGTCTGCTTTAGGTTGGTGGAGCTTAAAGAGAAGATGAATAGCAAGGAAAACGAAGCGATAAATACGATCAAGGAGCTATCCGAAAGGCTGAAAGCGGTTACTACTGATCTTGGGATCGAAAAGGAGAAAAGGTATAAGAAAAGAACGTTTTTGATTATGAAGAATGCGGCTATTATAACGAGGGGATGGTTTTTTAAGTCCAAAAGAATAAAACAATTTGATATTTAAAATAGGCAACAAGTAAAAGACGCGTTCACAGAATTAGAGGAACGATACAAGAATCTCGAGGAGAAGAGCAAACAATTATGCGAGCTTGCGGAGAAGAATAAAGAGTTCGCTATTACAGGTACAAAAACCTGGACATAACAACTTTCCAACAAAAAAAAAAAAAAAGAAAAATAACAGGAAAATATCCGTGAATTTGCTTGGCTCCGTTAGATTAATATTTAAAAAATATCTCTTAGTCGCATCGAGAGAAAAGTGTAATGTTTGCGTTAAAATAAAATTTTAATGGGTGTTTCGTTCTACTTATCAGAGGGTAGTCATACAGAGAACGAAGTACGCCTGTTCAACGAGTTGCAGGCAACCAGAAACGAATTGGAGGCGCAGAGGCAGATGATGTTGCAGCTGCAGCAAGAGAAAGAGGAAATCATTGCAGTGATGCATCAAGCGGCCGTTAGTTTGCACTACTTTCGGGACATGTCCTCGTATAAGTCCTAAGAACTACTCGATTCAATCTCAATCATTTGTTAGACACTCTTTTACCCTGATCGAAGAGAGGGTGGTAATTTCTAATTGTTTCGCTTTCTTCTGTTCTCGTGAGCTAGTGTCGCGAGGAGGAGGAAGATTCGAGGGAGAAATTGGCTGCGGAATTAGTGTTCAAATCCAACGAAGTCCAGAAGCTGACGATGCAGTATTCGGAACTGAAAAAGGTTGCAAAAAACGCGTAAGTTGTTCTATCGGTAATGCACGAAAGTATCAAGAATTACTTTTCTAAATCCTTATGTACTAAAGCTTTTCGAATAATGCACTTTCCGAATTTTCATGGGGCGATTTAGCCAAGAAAAAAATGGGATCTTAGAAAGGCAGTTGATGGAGATTCAAACGCGGCTGCATTCTCAGTCCATGGAGGGTGGAAAAGCTGGGTTAAGCGCTCATGCGATTGAGCTTCAACAACAGGTCTCCGATCTTCGCAACAATTTAGCAGAAGTAATTCAGCAAAAGGAGGAGCTAGAAACTGTATTGACTCAGAAGCAATTGGAGTTGGAGCAACGTGACCGTGTGATGCGTGAGCAGAGCAAGTTTCTTAAAGTCAGAGACGAGTTGCTTGATATCTTGAAAGGGAAGGCACAACAGGAGAATGGAGAATTATCGACTAACGATGAGAACAATGAATATCTTGAGCAGGTAACCAAATATCATTCCTATTTAATTCCTTTCCGGATTTATGGTAGATTCGGACTACTCTCTAACACCTTTTAACAGTTAAAGTTTAGAATATACATATTTTTAAATATCGTTATAATCGTTACAACTCGTAGTTAAAAATTCTTTATATCAGTGTCAGAAGAATAGAACTGTTCGAAGAAACTGACATATTTTTGTCTAACCAGATTCACAAACAGGTAGCTGCCAAAACGGAGGCAATCCAGGGATTGTATACGACTTTGGAAAACAAGCAGTTACAGATTATGCGTCTGGAGAAGATGGTGAAGCTAATGGAGGACCACCAAGATCGAGCTCAAGCTCAACGTACGCGTTTAGAGAATCGTATTGCTCAACTAGAACTGGCTTTGCAAAGGAATAAGGAACAGCGGTACGTTAGAGGACAGTCGTCATCTTGCATACAGTTTGACATGGAAAATGAACGAGATAGATTATCTACAGATAATCAGGAGAATCTTAGCGACTCTGATCAAATTTTTTCACAAGATTCGTTCAACTTGCATTCTTTCTTGCATCGAAATCAACACGATTTGGTCGATACTAGGTCAGAATTTTTACATGATGCGAGTACTTCGCAAACTGATCATCGACAGTTACACGATTACCGAGACTATATACAGCGACAGACATCCTCCGACGAGGATCAACCTTACATTTGTGAACGTTGTCGCCAAGAAACATCCGCAGAGAACAATCAACTTTGGTCAAACAAAAACGATTCTACTGACAATACTAACGAATCTTTTCGTAACTGGTTGACGAACGTGTCTAGTCACAAAATAACGCAAGATTCGATAAATACTCGCGACTTCCAAAATGATCGATATTTTTATGACTTACCTTCGATGGATAAAAATAGAAGGTATACTTCCGAGATGTACAATTTGGACGAAGAGTTTGATAATGTGAATGATAGTAGCAGGGAGTCGCAAAATCCTTATCAGAGAGATTATCATCAATATCGTCATCTTCATCATCGTGCTCGGTCGCCGCTGGTAAATAAGACCGTGCCTCATGGTGTCGCCTTGTAAACTACTGTACATAGCTTCCTTTGTTAAGAGACTGTTGATGTTCAACACGTACAATATCTTGTTGCAATTTTGTAGGATGTGTTTCATCAACGTAGGAATAAATGGCTTGGTTTTGTGGTGTTATTAAATCTCACATACGCAATTCTCTTGAATTATTTTATACACAAAACTGATGCAGTAGACAGCTGATGCAAATAATGCATTGAACGTAATTCAATTAAATTTTCTGAAAATATTACAATAAGTTTGTTACTTAATGGCTATAAATAACATTTGCAGTCGTTATTAGTATAAAAAATAAAAATTTCTACTTATGAATAATAAAAATTCATATACAACCTTTAATCATAGTTTGACATGGGAACCATTAGTAAAGTACGTTGTAAATAAATTTGTACGTTGTATTAATAAGGTCTGATTTAATAGGCTAGGTACTCCCTGCTACCGAATTTTCAATGTTATATCGTCGATACAAAAGTTCCTTACAGAGTGCCTAGCCTTTGAAACAGACCGATTTCTAATTTCTTCAACTCTCTGACCGATTTTATTTTTCTATGTTTTAGGGGTAAGGGCTTCGGCATCCTGTAAGGAACTTTCTAATCATCGTCAACGTAAATGATCTCCATCTTTGGTCGATCTCTTTGTCAAAGAGATTATTTTATGTTATTAAACATTAAGTCTTTGGTAAGCGGCACTTTACATCGTTTGCAAGATCTTTTTGATTCGATATTCGACACGATTAATCGAATCGTAGATTGTTGGCAATATTTTTGAGAAGAGGCGTGTAAATTGAGTATATGTATTTTGATTTATATTACTGTAATCGACGAGGCTTATTTATATATTTTTCTCTGTACATTTTATATGTATACTTTATTTTATAATAAAATTAATAAAATTAAATTATGCGTACAATTTATCAAACGTTATGTTAATCACTGTCATTATCACTGCTGCCAGAATATGCACCCAGTAAAGACAGACCATTATTGCTCGTCGGCTTATGCATACTTTCAGACGTATTTTTGTTTGGATTTTTACTTTCTTCCGTAGAAGCGTCAGTTTCTTTTCTTGCCACAGTTTGCGTATCTTCCTTATCGGTACTGGCAACTACGGCGTTTGAATTTACTTTGGTATTTACTAAATTTGTTTTTCTTTTAACTATGCCTAGCAAACTTTTTCTATTTGACGATGACGGTGTACTTTCAGACCACAATGATGTTTCAGATGGTTTTATTCTTTGAGTTTCCTTAGGCTTCAAAAAAAAAGGAAAAAAATAAAAAACGCTTTATAGTTTTTATAAATACTTAAAAACTACAATTAATTAACCAAAGATAAAGAAATAAAGTAAGTATTTACCTTTTCTTCGTCTGTTGTAGATTGAAACTTATTATTTTCAGTTTTACTTTTACTTCTTTTCATTACCTTTTTTGCTGGTTCACTGCTTTCGCTCTCATCTAATTCCACAATTTCTTCTTCTACAACAATTTTTTTACCAAATATCGCTTTAACACACTCTTCGTCATATTCTTCTTGCTCTTTCTCTGTTCTTTGCTTGGCTGCATCTGTATCAAATTGTTCTAACATTTGATCATAATCGATAGTTTGTTGTCTACGATTCAAGTCTTTCAATTCCTCTAAAGATTCTAACAATTCCAATTCTTGTTTCGATTGCAATGTTCTCTTCTCTAAGAGTTTCATCGGATTGGTAGCTTCTTCCTCTTTTTCTTCATCTTCCTCTCTCTGCGCTTGTTCTTCCGCTAACTTTAAGGCCATAAAATTTCTGGTTGCACCCGCTTCAATCTCATAATCCGTATTCTTGGGATCTGTTTTAAAACTTATTTCTTGCAGGCATCTAGTACATTTTATGTAAAACCTGTAAATTCGTATTCCTAAATAATCATCACCTTCGACATCTTCTTTACGAGCATTAAATTTTTTTCCTTTGTAAATGTATTCACCGCAAGTTTTGCATCTCATATTGAAAGGAGCCATCAAACGAACTGTATATTGTCTATTTCGGGCTAATTTCATACGAGGGATTTTTGACGGATCAAAATCCGGCGGATAATATTTCTAAAATATAAAGATTATGATTAATGTAATAAATTAATGCATGTTAATATATATAATCAATCTACACAATAATATAAACGTATCGTCGTTTAATTTAATGCAATTATTTGTGAAATTTTACTTACGTTTAAAACTTTACGCTCCGACATGTTTCTGGTTTAATGCAATAAGATTATTAACACAAAATATATTATAGGACACAAATAAATAGGTAGTTATACAACATAAATATACTTTAGGTTATCTTTGCTGTAAACTACTTGCAACTAAAGTACACTATTCAGTGCTGCCACCCTTGCTTATGGAAATCTACGCATTCTATATTAGTTTTAATACTCCAACGTTGGTACACGTGATATTTAATTGCTTGCAAATATGAAATATATAAACTGCGCGCGCGATTATTCGTTAATTCCGCCATTGTGTTTTTTGAAGTTTAAGCGTCATTAGTTCTTGTGGTGGAGAGAAGCGTTGAACATAGGTATGTAAGAAAGAATCATTAAGAATCATTAAAAATCATTGCATCAAAGACTCCTATTGCACGTAATAAGAGTTAGCGAACCTTTGAATAGTTCTTACTTCATATTTTTCAGTGATTGACAGGTGTATCACATTATCAGGAAGCGTGTGTTGAAGCTGTATAAAAATGAGGCTACATCGCAGCATCCAAACCTCAACGTTCAACGGATTCTGCTTGGTGAGTGACTTTTTTAGTCTTTTCGTTTACTTGGCTCATAGTCATTACGATTGTTAAATAGAAAAAGTAGGAAAGTTTTCGTAACATTTCAACCTTTAGATCGTAGTTTATACTATTTTTACTATTCCACTTTTGAGTATGAAACGAGAACCAAAATGGCGGAAATTCAAATCTCGGTATAACCGTTTCTGGAATGATCGAACTATGAAATTTAGTACGAAGTAGCTAACGTTCAACGAAATCTAATCGTTCCCGTTTTTGCTACTTATAATGTTATTTTATATACAATTTATTACAAAATAAGACATGTAGCCATCTTTATGACAAACTATTACACTAATATCCTACAAAGTACAGCTATCGTTACATGGTCTTATAATCTAAGAACCAAGTACTCGACACCGACTAAATTCCACGTTCACGACGAGCAATAAACGATGACTGGTATCACAGCGATTAGCTGACCATTGTAGAATACTCTAGCTAGCGGAATTCGTTTCACGCGGGACGAATTAAAATCGGCGAGAAGACCTTCTCGGATGTTTCCCTTGGTTTCTTCTCTCTAACGTGAATTTAATATCCGTGAATATAATGCGGGCATTTGACCGAACGATGAAAGCGAGCGTACAGAAGAGACGAGTAGGCCCGTTTTACTTCGTGGAACTGGATTCAATTCGGCATCGTACGCGTATAAAGGTTATTCAGCTAAACGCAAGGTCATGGGTACATGACTTGGGTCAGTCGAGCGCGTAAAACGGGCAAACAAGAATCTTTGCGCAAAGGAAACGAGAAAAAAAAAAGGGGAAAAGAAAAAGAAGAACAGCCTTAAAGACACACCACTATCCTGCGTTCCTTTTGTGGGACGGCAAAGGTACGTTTATGAATACATTACCGGGACCACGACGTTTTAAAATCTGTTACGCCTGTGTATACGTGTTCTCCTTTCATGGGACTTTCATGGGGATTCCTCCTGGACTTGACTCTTCATGGTCTACCACGACTTTAGCTACCGAAGTTTTGCGGTTTGCACTTTTGGGCTTTTTGTTTTGCCGGCGATATGATCCTTTTTTATCGCCATTCTGAGTACAGAACTGTAGATATTGCCTTGGTATATCTAGAAACTAGATATTTTATCGTTTATTTCTTCATTCATAGCGCTACCATGAACTTTTAAGATAATCGCAGATGATCCTTATATCGGTAGCTTTGCCAGTGGGTATAACCCTTTAGGTATAACCTCGCTACGTACAGAAATTTATATTTTAATCAAAGATTTTAGAATTCTATATATATTTTGTAAACGTAGGTTCGAATGTAAGGTTTAACTGTTGTTTCACGATAAGGTAAATGGATATTGAACTTTCTCTCATAGTATAATTAAGGATTTAAAGTCATAAAAGTTCAGTTTATGCCGAGATATGAAACAGAGGTAACGGCTATCCTTGATCTAGAAATCTAAGACTTTTGGAATTTCGCAACCTTGGAAGTTAGTCTTCGAACAAACAAAAATTATAACTCTTTCGTATGATGCTATAAATTTCTACGATGTTTCGACCTTCGAATCAGTTTAAATGTTTTAACCTACTTTTGTCCCAGAGTTACGCCGACATTTACTAGCTTCTAAAAAAGTAATTAAATATTTCAGTTTCGTATAAAAGATACTGTTCGAAGCAACGTTATGGAAGTTACGCAACAAATGTAGAAGAAAAAAATGGTAGTCAGATTTTAGGAAATAATTCTAAAAATCTATAAATTCGTTTGTGGAATCTTTTCATAAAAAAACGAAACAGGCAACACGGTTTTGTACTTTCACGTTTATATAAAATATTTTAAGGAGAAATCGCGATCTAATGTACAAAGATATCTGTGATCGATCGATCTCTCTCTCTCTCTTTCTTTGGGTGGTCCATAAGTTGGCACATTCTGTATCAAAATTTTTTAAGCGCAAACAAATACAGACAATGGTATCGCGAGTACCGATTAATTGGGTACTTCGAAAGTCGGGAAATCTCGTATTCGGTATGTTCGGACTAATTTTTCTTTATAATATTCGTGTCGACGTAACTGAACATTTATCGAGAATCCATTCATAAGGATAACAGCGAAATAACAATACGTTATTTCGTGTTGTTATTCCGTAATTAATTTACCACAGAGGAATAAAATACGAGTAAACCGGATACGAAAGAGAAAATCTACTTGTTGCTTTAAAAATTTATCGAAGCACGAGATAATTATAATCGCGTATGAAGCAAAGAATGCAAAATTGTTGCCGGAACTTTTGTACGTTAGCCCCATGCTATATCTGTACAACGCAGCGAATAGCGTACGTGTTAGAGACGAAACGAAATTAGAATCAGGAAGTTCCATTGTAGGCGTCATTGTCCTTCGTTTTATCATACATCGGTTCGCCGTTATCCAGTCTGGGTTAACATTCGGACGACTGAAACATTAGCTGTTCATAAATCTATTAGAATATATTTCTCAGTTCACGGTAATTTTCTTAATGTTCGCGTTCATAGACGCAAGCTGTAATCCGCTTAGATCAACCGCTTAGAAATTAGTGGTAGGAGGCAACACGGGGCCAGACAACTTTTATTTCCCTCGGTCACGATGCAACACAATCACCGTAAATTGCATCGCAGCCTTCGTAGCGAAGGGGTTAAAGCGGCTCTGAACCCTAGATTACACGTGTCACGATGATGAATAAGATAGACTAAATAAATGCAACATTTAGGGGCGCGAGTAATTTCCAGCTTAACGAGGGAGAAATCTTAATTAATCGTTTTTCGTGCAACATGTTGCTGGTCATCGTTCCTCTGTGCCTTGGCATCTCGACATTTTTGAGTGGGCTGTACTATTCCTGGAAGCCGTTCCATTCATGGAGTGTAGATGCTGTTAGCAGTCAGCGGTGCTCATTTTATGCACGGTTTCGTACTTTCTCTTATAAAAAGACTTAATAAAGGAACGGGGGAAAAAAACGAAGACGGGAGAAAGAAGATGAGACGAGAAGAATGGCGGGAGACAGTAGCCAGGAGGGTCTCGAGGGAATCGTGTCCGTTGAAACATCGACGAGAAAATATCTATCTGTTTACTTTTTAAAGATGAAACTGTATTTGTAGATGGTTAAGAATATAACGAGGGTACGACGGACTCGCGACTCAACTGGATCGAACTTTAAATTTCGTTATTGGCTTTGGCTAACAGAACGCGTTGAAACGTAGCTGCACGGTATTGTTTTTGAGTGTACGACGTTTCGAGTTTACGCGTGATCAAAAAATCAAAGTTTTTTCTTTTTATACACCGTCAAAACCAAAGATGCCCCCATAAACGACGCGGCTATCACGAAGGCCATCGTGTACTATTGTTACGGATTACCGCTACGCACGTTTACTACAACTCGGAATGACGTAATTCCGCGTTGCTTGCTCATTGTCAGTGCAAGAAGCCAACGTATTTTTAATGTCTGATTTTATCACAATGATGTCACGCCTGATGAAATTAAAAGCGAGAATAAATTGCCATAACTCTGCTGCGAAACTAGCAACGTGCGACCATCTTTGAATACAATTTTCGTACAACGTAGATACAATATACTTTCTAAAACATATCGATTACGTTTCAGTATATTACGATATTAGAATAGCGTAATAAATATTTCAAATATTCCGTTTAGTTCATCTTTACGACTTATTAAAAATTTTTGATTTGAATATGCAAATATTAATTTGAAATTGAAATTAGCGAATTTAACCTTAACGTTTCTATTAAAAATGTTGAACTCGATAGGCATTTTTTAGTTTCTTCTACAGTGGTATTCGAAAAGAGAGACGCGCGCATAAAGGACGATGTTCGGCGAATACCAAAACCTAATCTAAATTCGAGTTTCCCCGAATCGAATTGAATCGGTTGTGCGAAGCAACCGCTTGTTTCCCTTTCTCCTTTGTTTTTCCCTTGTCCTTTTTTTTTTTTTTCTCTCAAGTTCAAACGTCTCACGTTCCGCGTTTCACAAAAACATCCTCGATAAGAAAAGGAGTGGCGTTGCGCTGCCGAAGAAGCTTTGCCAGAATTTTTCTCAGAAGTGTTTTGCACCGCACTTTTATCCCCTCGCAACCGCAAATCGTGGTATGCCGCACATTGTTATGCGCGCCACGACACACCGAGCGCAGCTTTCTTTCAACGGTCGCTGCGAACTTTTCATCGCCAAATTTCTCCTCGTTTTTCTCTGCTTCTTCTTCTTTAATTCAGAACCGATCGAAAGGGACCGATACGATCCTTGGAATGCTCATTGGCTTCCTTTAACGCGATTTTCAAGTTGCGACAGTTTGCCATGGATACGATTTCCGTCAGAAAATTTTTACCATCGCAGACCGGATGCCGTTTAGTGCTTCGTATACAAGGTGTTACGAAATAAAGCTTTAAGATATTTACAGGTTTAGAACGCTTCTTGAGAAGAATAAAAAACGTTTGTTCTATCAGGTTGTAACGCTATCGTATTTGAGACTGAGACTCCTTTCTAGCCACCGGAGAGGCTTGAAAGCGACGAGATTAACGAAAATGAATATGGTGCGACAAAGATCGTATTTTCCATGTTTCCAAATTTAGATTATATCCACCGTAAGAGAAACTCAGAGTATTGCTGTGCGTGAGAAGTTTCCTTTTCAGACATGTTATCTTCGACGAAATACTTTGAAAGATTAAGTAATACGAGACACCCTGTAGACGCAAGGCAAACACATTTCACGTAGAATCCAGTGTCGCATTCTGGCAAAGTTTCTCCCGGCAGTCGGTTAGTCAAGAAATTTCCTCTGGGTCGTTTGTCCGTCGTTGAGCCAATTTCTTAGTCCAGCCAAACATTTCCACGGTTCAAGATCGTGTATAAACGTTCGAACAGAAATCCTATGTCGATGGATACTTTAAAAGGCAGACGATACAATTTCTTAGAGAAGGCCGGCAACGAATTCTTCGCGATCCTTGCAAGGCATGCGCGCATCCTGTCC